CGGGAGTTGCGCGGGTCGTGAGGCCGGGATCCGCGCGTAAGAAATCACCGGTAGAAAACACTGAAAGGGACTGGGCTTGGCCCCTTGTTGGCCGCACTCCTGGGTTTGGTTTAAATATTGCAGGTGAAAACTAGTTTAAACCTCCTGCGCACGTGACTTCAGGATCAGAAGTAAAAATCTGTTTTCCTTTAAGTAAATAAATCTCCTTTGTTCATCTCGCTGAACTCATTGAATAAATCATTGCTCGATTATCCTTCTGGACTAACCTATGCAGTCTTTAAAAAAAAAAAACGTAAAAAAATGGATAAATGCCCAGGTGAGGATGCACTGAGCGAGCCACCTCTCAGTTTCAGTGAGGCAGGATCTGATGTGCCACTCGTTTCCACTCTGCTCTTCAGCAGATGTTTATCTTTTCTCTTAGGTTTTCAGTGAACTCCATGGCCTTCCAGTTGGGCTGTTTTATTATTTTTACAGTTTGCAATTCTTGCATCTCACCTAACCCTCTGTTACAGCGCGTCAGTGTCGTCTCGTGGACGTAGAGAACGCTTGCTCCTTGGCTTTGAGCTGATGTTGTTAGTCTAAAGGCTGTCATGGTTTTTTGTATTTCTTGATTGTTCAGTTTTTCTTTATGTTGGTGTACGCTATGTCTATTACACTTCCTGATGGTATTTTTTCCCCCTGCTTTTGTTCTTTTTTTATTTTTTTTAAACATGGTAATTGAAAGTAGATACGAGGTCTCATCAGTGCCAGCCAGTGTCAAATCTGTGTCTCAACTATGGCTCTCTTGTTAAACACCCAGAATAGTATTTGGCTAGTCATATAGTTAACACAGATAACCCAGGCAAAGATTTATAAACTTCCATGGAAGTTAAAAGCTCTTGCTTCCATTCAGGAGCAGTAAAACAGGAGCTACAGCGCTGGGCCTGCGAATCAAAAGGCAGATCAGTCTTTTTACTCAATAAAAACTTCCCACTACCTTTTCCCTCACCCCTAACGTGCCCTGTTTGCGTCTCCCCAGCTGCAGCATCCAAGTGCCGAAGTGAGAGAGTACGCCTGTGCCAGTATTTCCAAGCTGTTGCAGCAGAAGCACGTAATCCCAGCCTTTCTGCAGAGAGACGTCGTCCGGTGTTTAGGACCGTTGTTGATGGATCACAGTTTAGCTGTTCGCGAGACAGCCGCAGGTGCCCTCCGGTAAGCAGTTGTTAATACTCAGTTAGAATGACGCACTCCTGGCGTGGTAAAGAAAAGAGCGGGGTTTTGCTGTTGAAAGCTGTGAACTTGAATGCCAGCTTCTCTTGCTTCAATTCCGTTTTGAGTAAGCGTGCCTCCGTTGGTTGAAGTCTCCGAGAGAGGGGCTTTTCTTGCTCCAGGAGGCTGCCACGAGGCTTTAATGGCAGGAGCAGGGTTTATATTAGTTACTACCATTTTATCTACTCCCAGTGCAATGTGCTGCTTTCCATCCTTGTGTTAAGAGAAAAATCAACAGTAGTATGAAGAAGTACAGAGAACTCGAATGCTGTTAGTAGGGCTTTCTGTGTCTTGATGACGCTGTAGGAGCGGTGGGTTAGTTGGAGAACGCACATAGCTGGCTTTTTGAGAAACTTGTAAATAGCGAACGGCATAATTTTGAGTTGGTATTCTGCAATCAGGCCTACAGCTTGCTTTATTTGTACAAAAATGTAATGCTAATACTTGTTAACATTCATGTTGTATCTTACACTGAGTAATACCTGACAGAAGTCATGTTTTAGTACAGATAAGCTTTCTAGTTACGCTAGACAAGTAAGTGAAAATATTTTTTTTTTCTCTAACACCAAAGTTATTCTTCTATGTTAGAAAGGTAGAACTCTGAAGTTAACTGATGAAGCAGATTGATTTTAAAACAAAAAGTACCATAACCTTTAGAGAAGAATACCGAATGCATGGGTTTTTTAAACATTCCTGGAAAGTATTGTATCTGCCCCAAAGCATTTTTTTTTTTCCCCAGAAATCTGAGTGCTTGTGGAGGATTTGAAGTCTGTGATGACATGGTGACAAAAGACATCATGACACCCCTTGTGGCACTTCTGAAAGAGGTGTGTTTATTTTTATTCTGATTTTAAAACAGATCTAATCATTGAATGATCCCATTTTCAAAAATAGTTCAATTTTTTGTAGCTATTATCAAGATAAGATACTTGAAAGATCTTTTAAAAGATTGCTTCAGTGGGTTTAATGGTACAAAAATTATTCCAGAGATTTCAAACCACTTGCTTCTGCCTCCTGACCTGCTAACTTGGGTCCATGGTGAGGTTTGCTGCCTGGAATGATTTTTGCATAAACAGTCTGGAGATTTTGGGTCTGGAATGTCAGTCAAGACAAGTCTATTCTGTCAGTTAAGATCCAGATCCAACATTTATGTTGCCAACATTATTCTAGGGAGGGTTGTTTTTTTTTTTTTTTGGTAAACAGTTTTGTCTAAATGAAGGCTTGGATTTACAGTTAGGTAGTTACTGCTGTTGTGGGATAATCTGTACTGAATACCTATTCTTTGTTTGGTCCAGGTGTTGCAGTGCAGTTTGGAAATTGCATTGAATTCTGTCACCTGCTGTCTTTGTATGAGCAGCCTTGAGCAATACCATCATTTTCTGTATGTTTCTTCCCCATTTTAAAATATGGGTAATAGCATTGTTGTAAAGCACAGCAAGATATTAGCTGAATTAATCCTTGTGATTAGAAAGAAATGTTGAAAATTGCATACAGACTGTATTAGCCAGAAACAGCATTACAGGTTTTAAAATTACTAAGCATTTCTTTATAAAAAAATGCTTCTGAAGACTATTGAATGCAAAGCAAGTACTGTAACAGTCTACAAAACAAAAAAAAATTAATCAGTGATTCAATTTCATTGTGGCCCAGTTTTCATAGAGAATAGTAAACTAGTCAGGTTTTCTGGTAATAAACACTTCATGAGGGATCTCTCCATTCACTCTGCTGCTAATGTTTTAAGTTTTTGCTTTTCTTCTTGGCTTGTTTGTTTCCCAACCCTGATTCTCTTGTTTGCTTGTAGTGTAGCACTGGACTAGATGCTAACCAGCTCTCTCCAAAGAAATGCAGAGAGATGAACAAAAATTATATTGAAGACATAGCCAATGAGGCTATTAATTTGCTGTGGAATGTATGGTAAGTGCTGTGTAAACACTGGCCTTTTAGAAGAGGTAAATTAAATTGTTCCTGAAAAAGAGCGTGGTAATTGAGGCAAAAAAGAAATTACTGTCCTTGCATGGGAAGATGTACTCAGTTGCTGATTCTGATTTCTGATTGCGTTGCTCCTATGTGTGCCTTGCTTAATAAATGGCAAGCCCTCATCTGATCTGAAATACAAGTTTATCTTCTATCGTAAATTACTTTTATAAGGGAAGGATTCTAAAAGTGCACAAAGTTGGTCATTAGTTTTAGGAAAGTGACAATTTTTTTTTTTTTTTCTATTGGTCGTTTATCCTAGGTTCTGATACTGTTTTCTGAACATGCTGTGTCATAGTCTCCTGTACAGTTTGGGTGGTGGGGTCTTGCATGCAGTTCCTGTAGGTCCTTATCATGATACCGGGAGATGGGGAGAATTAAATTCTGATCAGTGAACTCCAGTGCTCTGGGAATATGAGGAGTTTTTGTACTACTTCCTCCCTCTGCACGTCATCCCAAAAGTTAATATTGAAAGTTTGGACAAAACTGCCCCTTAGTGACTGAGGTGCTGATACAAGATACAAGTCTACTTAATTATGTGAAAAAGAATGAATTGTTCAATTAGTAGTTTACATTGGAAACACCAGGTGAAGGAAGAGAAATGGCAAAACGTAATACAGAAAATTGCTATAAATATTGAAGTCATACAGACCTGTTCTGAAAGTTCTCCTTGAATTTTGTGTTGTTTTTCTTCGTTTTGTATTAGCTCCCTGTCATTCTATGCTTTGGTCCATACGGAATTTTGTTTTGTACTGTACAGTATTTCAGTGGAGCTGCCTCTCTGTCTGTCTGTATGGTATGGCTGGTGGCTTTAGGCCCTTTTTTTTAAATTTTTTTTTTTTTTTTTTTTTTTCGTTTAGAGATTGGAATCTAGAACAGTACAGAAACTGCTTGCTCAGCACCTTACACAGAATACATGACCCTTTGTAACTCTGACTCAACAATGTTTTGTGTTCATTTTTTTTTTTATTGTTTTTGTAGTCATAAGTGCTTTGGAACAGGAACAAGATCATTAAGTGTGCTATAAATCACTTCTGTATTTTGAACATTTTGTGGCAAGGACTGTGAACTGCTGACTTCCTTGCTAAGTTTGGTACTGATAAAATCAGGGATGGTATTGATGCTGAGACATAGTTCAAAAGTAGATTTTTTTTAAGTCCCTTGTAGCTAGTTGGTCCCATGCTTTTTTAGTTTGAATTTGTCTTGTGTCAGTATATTAGTTTAAAAATTGAAATAGCTGTGAAAACGTGAAGAAACACAAATCCTACTGTTAGATAATGAAAAGAAATGTCACATTTAGCATTGATTTAGCATGCATTTCTGAATGTGAAGAGCAGTCATTTTCTGGAGTATGCGAACATTGATGTGAGAGGCAACAGCCCGCTCTGTTGTCAGTGGGTTTTCCATGGCTGCAGAAAGCCCTGGGCTGGCTTGTAGCTCACAGCTATAAGCTGCCTTTCATGCTCTGGCTGGCTCTGTCTGCATGCGACTGTACTTAGGCTCTCAAATAAACTCCAGAATACTGTGTGTGAGGAAGCAGCTGGCAGAAGCCAGCTTTCCTCAGAGGTGTCCAGGGTATTGCAGCTTTCTCCATTTTATACAGAGTTGATTATAACCTCGATAACAAAGGATAGCTCTTTGACTAATGTGTAATCCTTAGGTAGGTTTTTAAAATTTGAGTAATAGTGAGTACATGTTACTTAAAATGTTGTTACGGTAATTTTTTCCTGGGAAAAGTGTTTTATTAATCCTTTTTATGCATTAGCGAATGCAACAGTATCGCAGTATCCATATTCAATAAAGAAGGATGTCTGGAGGCAGTGTTACATTACATGAAGAAGTTTTCCACGAATGTGGATCTGGCTATTTCAGTAGGTAAGTGGTAAAAAGAGAAGATAAGGATTTAAAGATTTTTTTTTTCTCTTTACAATATGAATGTAACACTGATGTCACATCCATTGCATAATGCACCTGCCTTAGCATTACTTAAAGTTTACATTGAATATAAGACTTTAAATTCCTTCCTGAACAAGCACATCATTCAGAAGTTGACATCTGTTGTGCTTGTTTTCAGTCCAAAGGAGAATGGCTTATTGCTGGTTACATGGGAGGAAAAAATTTTGCGGAAAGCAAGCTGTAGATGCAGGCTGTGTTTTTCATTTTGTTTTCTGATTTTGGTAATGACGGGTTTAATTTGTAGAGCAAAGGACGTAGTCCATCTAAAAGAAGTCCAAACAACTATTACTTTCAACGTGCTTTTATTAGTAGTACTGTTGTTATAGTCTTATAATGGTCTTACAAGTGTATGTGCTCGCAACATTTTTTGGTGTTTTCCCTAGTCAGTATACAATGGAGAAATTGAATTTCGAGTCGCTGAAATTAATACGGTTCATCCCATGTCTGATGTGGTACTGTCCTCACCTGTTTTATATACAGGTTTGCCAGAGAATGTCTTTTAATCTAAAACACAGTTTGTGAAGGACAGCATCATACCATTACAACATGGTGCTGCATGAAATGTTTTTTCCTACGTCTGTTTCATTACTCCAGCTTTCAGGAAGATAAAGCTCTCTCATTAGGAAAGTGAAAGCTACTGTTGGGTTTGTTAATTATCATTGTTGTTGTTTGCTGCAGCAAACTGCTTGCAGGCAGTGACGGAAGATAATCCAGATCTTCTTTCTTCATTCAATGCTTCTGCACAACAAGTGTTGGAAACCGTGATGTTGTGTCCAGAGAGCACAATGAAGCATATCCTTCTGAGAACGCTGATAGCAGGTATGATGTTCGAGGGCGTTCGTTGCTTTGTGATGGAGAGCATGGCAGGTAGAGGAGGGTGGGAAGGACAGAAGGCTTAGTCTTCTCTGCTGTATCTGGACATCCGATCGGCAAAGCCTGTATAGATGGTTCATGAGGGTATTTGTGCCTCTTGGGATTGTGTTTCGGAGTAACCAAATATTTGCAACTAGCTTTAAAACTGTCTTAAATGCTTGATTCTAAATTCAGTACCTGCTCAGTGTGATAACCCATGTTAACTGTTCATTTGGTTTTCAGCAGTGAATTGAGTGAGTAATAGGTAGTACAGGAATTGTTTTGATCTTAACAGGTGCAGGTTTTTACCTCAGATTCTCTACCTTGCATTCTTTTCTCCACCTCAAATGCTCAACCATGGTGATTTTTGATACTGGAGTGTAATAAATTAGTTTAATTTTGAGGATCCTTAGAAAATGGTTCTCTCATATGGATTTGTTATCAGAGGTAAAAAGTGTCACCAAGATTGCTCTGCATAAATATTCTGTGTATCCTTACGTGCTGAAATCTACTTAAGCTTAAGACGTGGGCATAACATAGTTATTACAGATTAGTATATGAAAAGCTAAACAGAAAAAAATACAAGTCTGTAGAGAAAAGACTTGAACATTCATACTGAAAGGTAAGCACTGAGTATTTTAACTAGTGGAGGCTATGTGCTTACAAAATACATGGCTATTGCAGAGCTGGGAATTGAGTATTTTAACAGATTCTTATATTTCAACTATCTCATGTTTAGGCACTATCTGGAATATCAAAGATACCATTCCACCAGGCAGCCTGGGAAGCATGGTTAATGCAATCCTGAAGATTTTTTCAGAATCATTAGCAATAGATGCTGGTGAAACAATTATTCGTATGAATGAAGCTGAAAAAAACAGGTTAAGACTTGCTGCGGAGGCAGAAACTGAGGAAAACATGAGTGATGTTATAGACAACTGTGTTGTGAGTGAAGATGATGACATGGAAGAAATACCAAAAGGAAAAGTCAGAAGAGAAAATGACATTTCAGACCTACTTCCAGTAAGTGTGGCTGGCTGGCTCACTCTCGTAGAGCTTAGTGCATTTGGTTGAGCGTCTGACTGGTCTTGACTGAATGTTAGCCAGAGTAGCTACCTACTAGTGTTACTAATCCTAACTCCCAAATGGCTTGACTATTTTAGCTGCAGCATCAAAGCTGAGCATGGAGAATTTCAGCTCAACTTGTTCAAATGTAAGTTGCACAGCGCATCAGGAAAGTGCATTTCCGTTTTTTTCCTCTAGTGGAAGGTATAGGCTTATCTGACACTTCTCCCTGTAGCTACTGCAGGAAGTTCTGATCTCACCCTAAGGCGGGTGAGACTTTTAATGGTTGTAGCCATGCCATTGTGAGTGGAGATGACACAGAGATTAATGAATGCATTCACTATTGCGTACATGAAACGAGTAACAGAAATAAATACATTTTTCTGATAGGCCTTTAGCTACCGTTAGGTAATCTTTTCTGTTACAACTTCAGTGCAGGTGGCATTTTGTAAAGGTAAAATTTGTTCTGAAGCATCCAGCAGAAAGATGATAGGTTTTGTTTACTTTTTTTTTTTTTAAAATGGGGAGGGATGAGAAGAGGAAATGGCTGGGTTGTATTTTTAACTGACAGCCTGGGTACTTTAAATTGCGCTGAAATGTTGTTTTACAAAATTAAATTTGGTTCATATTTTTCTTTTTTAGTCTGATAAGTGGGAACTGAAAGAAGTGACAGCTTTACTGATGGCTCAGCAGACTGCTCTGGAAATCATTGTTAATATGTGCTGCAGTGAAGGTTTGTAGGAATCTCTTTCATCACAAGTGTTGCGGTGCATTTTTTTCCTGGAATAAGTGATGTTTAGTTTGCTGTTAGGTGATCTTAGCTTTTAAGGGTGAATGCACGTAGACTTGTTGTCCCTGATACCCCCACGTAGGGGGCAGATTGGATTCTATTGCTAATTTAAGTAGTTTTTCTCATTTAAATAATTTCTATCGCTGACATATTTTTTGCATGATACTACATATGCCAACATCTAAGAACAAACAAAAAAGGACTTGTGCCGAAGAGATACTCCCTAAAAAGCATTACAGCAAATTCTTTGTTCAGTTACAGCATGGTCTGAGTGTTCATCTGATACAGTATGGGGGTGAATCCTATTGCAGGACTGGGGCATCAGTTTTTTTTAAAGCAGATAAATATTCTAGTTTTGATTTAGTTTTGGTACTACAAGTGTCAAAAGAAGGAGGACAGACAGCTTTTGCATGCAAATCTGGCAGCCACGCAGATTTAGGCTGTTCAGAGTTCCACCCTTACGAGCTTTGTTGGAGGAGAAAGAAAGGCTGTTACTCTGGGGGGAGTAGGAAATAGATATTCTGTATCTTCTATGAGCTCTGTTACTCAGTTTTGGTAGCTTTTCTCGAAATCTTCAGGAAAACAAATAAATGATTTTCAGATTCTGTTTAAAACAAACAAACCCCCCAAAACTCAAACTCCTCCAAAACCTGAGAATTGTAATTGCTAGTACAGTTCATGAGCCTGATGCAAAAGTAGTAGTGTAGGAGATAACTTTGTAAGTAAATCTTTCAGGTTCTGATAAAATCCACAGTAATACCCAGATATTCCCAATGGTGATTTTTTTTTTCTCTTACAGCACAAGGAAATTCTGCACCTAGTATGTGAAGCTCATTTCATAACTGCATTTCTCATCTAATGAGCTGTAATTCATAAGCTCTTCCCTTTAATTGGAAAATCTCTTGTGGATAAAGCTCCATATTCTGCCATTCACTCAGTGTAATGTAAGGTTGATTGTGTTGTATTTCACTACAGTACTTTACCCATTCATGGGCAGACGGAAACATAGTCTGTAGAAATTAAGAGGAATCCAGAGGCAGCTGTTCATTTAATTTTCAAGTTATTTGAGGACTAAAATAGCTTTAGCCATTATGCTGAGTTCATAGAAACACTCAGCTTGCCACAGAACTGAGGGAAACAATCATGCTGGCAAGAGACGTGTTTTACTGAACGCTGGCCGGCGTTTGGAAGAAGCAGTGCTGGAAGAAGCAGAGTGCTCTCCCCCTAACAGGGACACAGGAAGGAATCCAGGAGACTCCAGCACTGCTGTCCAGCCTGTGGTTCGCAGGTTACCAGTGCTAGTTAAGATGGGACTGCCATTGGAAATGCCTCTCTATTTCCAAGAACGTTACAAGAAACCTGATCTTAGTTATGGGTAATCTTCCAGAGATTCCTGCTCTGCCCTGGTCGTTCACCGTGAACATGCGATGACTGTTGTCCTTGTTGCTGAATTGCGTGGTCAGCTCATATAGTTATCATGTAATTTTCAAAGGAGATTTTTGGGTTCTTTGCTTTGTACAGATGCAGATGGAAGTTTTTTAGAAAAGGCAGGAAACTGACTGAAAGGGGGATGTCTGCTTTGTTTTCATGCTCGTTGCTACTGTGGGTTTACTAACATAAAAGCATAAAGCATAGAAGACAACTGTTTTCTCATGCAAGGGCTATTCACTTTAGCATATTATGGCTGTAGAATTAATTGGATATTACCATAAGCAAAAGAAGATGCCTGTGTGATCAAGTTGCCACAGCCTGATGAATTACTTTGCCTCAGATGGACAGTAGTCATCACCTTCAAATAAATTCTTTAGCTGCTGCACAGTGCAGGTGAAATGTGTTCATTTAGACCTTTCTTGCTGTATCTTAAGTGAATTAATTTATCACAGCAAGAGTGCATGGCTGTCACCGTAGTTACTACAGTACCTGGATCTCACGTGGATCTGTGTTGTCAGACAAAATTACTTGAGGGTGAATATGATATTTTTCTGTCACAGTAGTTAAATATCCTGACCTACGTACGCAGGCAGAGCTTTCACCTGTCAGTGAGGAGGATCAGTCCAACCCGTAGACTTAGGACTTGTGTAAACACCAGTGTCACACCAGTTAAAATGTAACCAGGTTTAAAACAACTTTAGATAAATCAGTGTAAACCCTGTGGACGTAGATATATCAGCTTAAATGTAAATGACGGACTTAGCTTGTGCTTGTCAGGCCAAGTCTGCCTTAAGCCATGGACAGATTATTCACTTTACAGTAGCTGTGCCTTTTGGTAACACTACCTCAGCCCCTCTTGCTATGTCTGCCCCTACAGATCTGCTAGTAGAGTAAATCATGTAAGTATAAGCCTAGTTCAGGTTTATAACTATAAACCTAGTTTAATTTACTTAAAATACGTTGCCTGAAAGGGCTAACAGAGATGATCTGGCTTGCTTTGGCTTGTTTTGCTGTTGTCACTTCCTTTCAACTGGCCTTGCTGTGGAGACAGCAACATCTTCATCCAGCCCAGTTACTGCCTAGTCAGAGGACATCTCTCTGTGGCTTCGGTATTGCCAGAGAAACCACTTGCCTTAAACTGATTGCAGTTAGTAAACAAGTTAAGTTAAACTGGTGTATTTGCATGCTTGAATCTACCTCAAAAAGTAAAGCAGTACAATCCAAGTTAAGATCCTAGAAAATGTTTTATGAAATGTTTCTTCTGTACTTTTTTTTGATATCTTTAAGTGAAGCGTAGTTAATATCAGAGAATGAAGTACTTGTGTATGAAGAACCTCTCTCATAAGAATACTTGTTGCCTGAGTGAATATAAAATAATTTTTAAAAATAAAACAATTGAAACAAAAGTAGTACAATATTTAGAATTGTGGCTTAATGGCACTTGGTTTGTGTGGACTTCATTAGAGCCCAAGAGCTTAAAGACTTCTAAACCAAGAGCTGGAGCCAAGTTTAATTGAGAAGTAGGATACCTATTGCATGAGTAATGTTACATTTACAAGTCTGTCTTCTGTTCTCAGATCCCTCTGATGACGAATGGGAAGAACTCTCCAGCAGTGATGAAAGCGACTTGTTTATGGAAAACTCATACAATGAGGGGGGTGGGCTGCTAATGTCACCCCTGTGCCTCTCTGATGAAGTTAACTCAGCGTTTCTGAACAACCTCATTCCAAAGAAGGTATTGTCTCTTACTTTATTTCCAACACATGGTACAGTCTTTCCCTTGTGCCTGATTTGGATCCCAGGTTAGGCAAACAAATTATCCCAACCTATCTGGAGAAAAGGAGTATTTTTTACAATTGGTTTAGCTTCACTTTTTTTTGGCCTAGAGGTGGAGCATCATCACATGAGCTGTCTTGACCTAAATAATTTCTTCATGTAAGTGGGAATAGAAGGTTCATGTGTTTCAGAAATCTGGTGCCTTTTTTTTTTTTTTTTTTTTAATTTGGCTTTTCCAAAATACAAGGGTTATTCCTTGATTTGGACATGAAAAAGATTACCTGCAGAAAGAAAGGAAACTGAGTAGAAGCATGACTGCCAGATTTCCATATTAGCTAAGTGAGGTGGAGGTAATGTATGTGAATGGCAACAGTCAGCACTGAAAAAGTGCAAGTTCCTCTTTCACCCTGTTTTATACACAGCGTCTGAAGTGCAATATTTGACACTGACAAGAATTCAGATGTTCTTGTTTCAGAGTTTCACTCATTCTTATTTGGGGTTCTAAAGATGAAGTTTGTCATTTGAATCAGTTATTATGCTAGTTCAGCAGCGTGGTAGAATTGTGACCCAAGAGATCAAGGTGTGAGATGATTCAAGGCTTTATGTACTTAACAGCAAGCAGTCTAAGTTGCATGGCAAGGTCTTTTAGACTTGCAGCTATCTGAAAATTCTGTAGCGGAACCTGTGAGAAGAAAGATCTAAATAAAAAAAGAATAACAGAGACCTAGAAAATCACCTTTTGTTCAGTACAGTTGGATACTTTAAATATGCTATGATAGACCCAGTGTAGAATTGCACCATTTGAATGACTGAGGAAGATTCTGGCATTTTTAGCAGGTGAGACACTTGCTACCTTGAAAGCTTTTAAATACGTAGTTTGAAGTATCTGTTTGACATTAAGCTAAAATTTCAGTCTTCCCCCCAAACACATCTAAAAAAAAAAAAAAAGGCAAAACAAAAAAAAAGCTTTATTGCTAAACCTTTCTTTTTCCCCTTCCCAGATTCTTGAAAAAACTGCTTTTCCGAACAGTGTTGCTCTAGACATCTGTATGCACAATCCGTCTTGGAAACCATTAATTAAAAAGTAGGAATTTCATTGTCTCTCTTACTGTTTTTCATGTATATTCAGTTGTTTTAGAACTCTTAGAAGGATTGTCCATCTTTGGGTTGCTTTTAAGATCTGGACAATAGCAGATCTGATACGTGGTTTTGAATAAAGAGATAGAAATATTTGTGTAAACTGCACACCGGATCACAGCCTTATTTAATTCAAGATCCTGCTTTGTATTTTGACATCTGTTTTCAAAGAGATCTGCTAAGTGCATTTTTTGTTTGTTTCAGACTGAATGCAGTGCAGTGTAGAGCTTTAACGTGTCTTCATAGCATTTTATTAGTGTCAGATGTGGATTGTCTTGGAGGAGCTTCAGCACTTCAGTCCCTTGCACAGCACCTCTCGCAGCTAGTCTTTTCTAAAATGGGTAAGATGTAAAAGGGGGCTTGCTGACCTATTTCATATGGATATAAGGTAGCCATGTTCATTGTTAAGTTTTAATGCCATTTTATTAGCAATTCTATCCCTTTGGTCTTTCAAAATAAGGATACTGAATGTTGGAAATGTGCTGACAAAACAGTGTATCCTGGTCAGATGTGTTTATCCAAACTGCATCTTGAGGAGGTACGCTCCTAATGCAAGAATATGCTTTACGTCAGTATGTGTGTGCATGCAGAAAGTCACTAAGTGAATGAATCCTGCCTAGCTGTGCGACCAGAACTGGTTTTTTGATCATATTTGTGATAATAGCAGTTTTTCATCAATCAGACAAGCCATAAAGAAGACAGAACATTTTCATTTTAACTGTGCAAACTAGCCTAAATAGATATGTGAAAAAAGGGTATCTAGCACAGTCTATCACATCATTTTTTTCTAGGAATTTTATTATTGCAAAGGTGGTTGTTGCAAAAATCTCCAGAATGTACATGCTTATTACAGTAGGAAAGATAGCAGCCACCTTGTCTCCAGGATATGCTTTATGTATATGATTGTGTAGCTTTATTGAAAATACATTTGTAATACGAAAATGTGCAAAGTTTTTATGACTAAATATTAAAGCTGCTTAACTTGCGGTTATGGTGGTGGTTCAATTTCAATGGAGAAGGCAATAAATTTCATTTTTCTAAAAATACTGTTTTAGAATATCAGATACATCCTGGTAAACACTGTAATGTATCCACTGTAGTTCCTCCAAGGCACATTATTTCATAGAGATACTGTGATGGTTTCCCCATAGATCTGCTAGTATCATTATCGTTGGATGGTCTAGTGTAGATACACAGCAGTTAGCATTTCCAGCTACCTCCTGTAATCTTATACACCAGATCAGCATCATTCCAATAATGCTGTTGGACCATTTATGCTATGATCTCTCTGTTACTGACAGTAGAGAAGCTGAACTGAGATTGAAAAAAAGAAAAAAAAAATGGTTCCAAGCTGATAATCTGGTTCCCTGACAGGCTGCTTCATTCAGACTATTCTGATAATCTGTTTTTGTTTTAAGGTCAGTGATGATGGCTTTTCAGAAAATAAAGAGACATTCTTAGAGGCTGGAAAAGCCTGCCAATTCTCAAAATTGTCAGAAAACATTTTTCCTAAGACAGATCTGTTGAAGTCCAGCATATGCATGGCTTTGTCATTTCTTGTCTCTTAAAAGCTTGAGAAGCTCAGTTTTCTTCCCTTCCTTCAGGCATCTCCATTTGTAGCCACAAATGCAGTGTATGTAGTTCTTATTCACTGTAGTGTATAGTATGACACTGCATTAATGCTTGAAAATGCATCTGCCTGCAAAACACACTTTTTTCTCAGTGTCATTAAAAGCATATGATCAATCTGTGGGAACATTATTACTGAAAGTGTAGCGCTTGAAGAACTAAAATGCAGGAAATGAAAATAAATATGAAGATATATGCAAGGAAGTTTGCATAACATATTTGTCTCATGCTTAAAGAGCAGGACTTGCAAGATTTCAGGGTCTACATGTTATGCTTCGCAATAGTCAGCAAGTTCTTAGATGACACTGGAGAAGTGGCTAGCTGAGACAGACGGTGCTAATAAATTAGTTTAATGGCCCATGTCCATTTTCGTTAACATGTTTTTTTTTTAATAGTGAAATGCTATGTAATGGAAACTGCCGGATAGAATTGATAACATACCAACATGTAGTTAGAAGAAATTCTGTGGTTGACAGGGTGAAAGAGAGGCGTAAAGATCTAGTTGCTTACATGGGAAAGGAGGAGATACACATGAAATAATCAAGAGTTTCCACATCTGGAGTAGTCCAGAAAATAAGAACACATTAGAAGAAAATAAAAAGCTTCAGGAAATGCAGAACATGTATTGAAGATGATGGCTGGTATTGATGAATATGTAGTTAAACAAGAATAACGCAGTGCTTGAATCGTACATTTCTGAAAGGTTATTAAACGACCGGAAGACATGTTCTTCATATGAATTGGAAAGAGTCCAGCGTTCTGGGTGTCTAAAAAGCCTGCTTAAAAGACAGAAGAAAGGAGTTAAAGTACGCGGTCAGCTTCTGTAGTTTTCTTGGTTCTTGTATTATGGCCTCCATGTGATACCAGTTTTCAAGCTTCTGTTCTGATGGCAGTGGTTTGTACCATATGTTAGGTCACACAAGGGTCTTAACCAGGGATGTGCCTGAAAATGAGGACCAACTGTGGTCTGACCTCCAGATGCAATTAATATTGAATTCAAACAAATCACTATGGTTACAACCTGCAAAGACCAGTCTCTGAAAATCTAGCTCTTCCTGTTTGTGGTAGCACTTGGAGGAACAATTAAGGGATTAAGGAATTTGTATTTCTTTGCTTCTCATATCCTTCATCTTGTTTAACTTTTGGCTCTGGGTTCAATTCTTTGACAGAACTCCCTACAGACACAGAATTCTTGGAAGCCATAACCAGCGCTTTGAGGGCTCTCCTACAAACAATGGCATCAAAGAACATCTCCCAGGTAAAAGCTTTCACCCTCAAATGCTCTGGTAGGTTCAAATTCATGTCAGATTGTGCTGGAAAGTTTTTGAAACAAAACCATTTAAATGAAGTGCTAAATTTCAGCAACGGTGAACACTGAAAGAACAGATTTAATAGCATTCACTCTTTGTATTTTTCATGGACCCTACAAGAATACTTTTTTAATATATCTCCTCCTTAACATATAAACAGATGAAAGGTATTTCAAAACCAAAACAGCAATAAGCCACAGGTAGTATCTTTAGGAGATGGATATAATGACAAGCATTTAGTAAATTAGCACCTAGAAATGTGGATTCTTTATTTCCTGATGTCATCTAGTTGAAGCTGGTTGTCCTAGGATCTCGGTTGGACATGAATTAGTGAGCTAAATACGGGAATGAAGCGTAGTAGTTTGTTACACAAGATGTAATACTAGATGGTCTGCTGGTTCTTTCTGGCTTTAAACTGAAAAATGAGCTTCTATACTGTAAGTTGTGATGAGTTGGAAATAGCTATTGAGATAGGTAAACTTGTGAAAATCCCTTTGGCCTCAGAACTTTTTCCTTCAGCTCCATGACAGCCTTGCTTATGTTCTGGAAGAAACACCTTAAGAAGTCGAAAGGGAGAGTTTAACTGTTTTCTTGCTGATTACATTTTCAGAATTCATGTAGTTTTCATAATACAGGACTCTGTTGCTCTGTTAAAAATTTGCCTGTGTTCTATAAAAGCAAATGATCTAAATGTCCTCTGAGAATTTCCATGAAAATGTAAATATGTCGAACTTCATGCTTTTTTTGTTTGTTTGTTTGTTTCCCCTTGCTAAGCAGTGTATGACTCCTGAACAGCTATTGGCTTTATGTGAAGCTGGTATTCACAGCAGCAATGCCAGTGTTAGAGTGAACGTAGTGAGCATCCTTGGAATTTCTGGCAGCGTCCTGGCAAAAGGACAAGATACAGCTGAAACACTAAAGGTGAAAAAGCAAACTTTGCATTGCAAGCCGAAAACAGTTCTGATACTTCTTTCAATTTCCGTAAGCATTGCTGGAAAAATCAATTTTTCTCTCATTTCAGATGATTGGAAAATTTCTTCTTGAGGTTGCTACGAAGGAATCTTCTCTTGTGGTAGCAGGGGAAGCCCTGGATGCACTTTTTGATGTATTTGCAGATGGTAAAGAAGCAGAAAAGGCGGCGGTACAGATCAAGTTGCTTGCAGCACTGAAAGAATTTCAGCCAGTGTTCAAAACGAGGGTAGGCATCAAATGCAGCCAGCTCAGAGTCTCAACACACAATGTGGGTTAAAGCTTTGACATTTGGGCTGCCAGAAGAGATAATTAAGCAGGCATGTTACACAAATGATTTGAGTTTCATGCTTGGGAAATGGCAAAAAAAAAAAAAAAAAAGAAAACAAATAATTGAATTCCTGATACTCCACTTCAGAGGAAAGCAAATATACTTACCTTGCAGTTCATGGAACCGTCAAGGTAACAGTGCAGCATCTGCATTGCAACATCTGCATTACACCATCAGCATTACTGATGTCCAAATCACTTTATTGTTCTGAAACCCTTGTAGAAAACAATCCTGCAGATGTCTCTGGAGAACAGCTAAATTGGTGGGAGAGAAGTCCCTTCTGAAGTTACACTGACATCTTTTGGTTTTAACTTGCTGTAGTTGCAGGTGGATGTTTTTGTTCTGGTGTTGGTTAATTAAAATAGATCATATATTCTGTATTTTCAAGAATCATAAGGCCAAAATTCTAAACTGTAATTTTAAGTACATCCCTTGTCTTAAATAGAGAGTGACCTTCAATATGTTATTTCTTTAGTCAGATGAAACCTGAGGAGTGACTTTCATAGTCCTAAAGCTAAGCACTATACACACAAAATACATACCTGACAGTGCTACAGTTGTTTGGTTAGTTAGATGTGCAAGGTCTTCCATATAAAAAGCTACGGAAAATAAGTGTATGTTTCAGATTTATGAGTGAAATAGCATGCCAATGGTAGTCTAGTTTTAAGCAGAGATGTATTATAGTAAATTGATTTGCAGAAATAATTGCTAGCTACACATGTGCACACGTGAACATGGTGGTGTTCTCAAAAGGCTTGGGTAGCATGCCTTGATAGAAGACATATATACAATTTCTATAATCTTTAAGTGATCTAATAGGAGGAACTTCTCCATTAGTAAAGTATGTATTTTTTGGTTTTACAGATGCGAAAAGAAGGCAAAGGACAGTATAGTACAGACCAACTGTGTGTTCTTGACAATGTGAAGATGAATTTGAGAAGATTCATTGCATATCAGGAGACACTAGGGAAAACCCCAACTTGAAACATCGAGGAACTTTAAACTAAGGTTTCCCTTACTGAATAACATTTTCCAAAAATATAACCGTTTTGGACTTCTAAAATTTATTGAGCAGAGCAGTTTTGCTTTCATGTTAATAGTGTGGTTTTTTATGTTCAGTATTTTTATACTTCTGGGTTGATGCAATATGAAAGTCACATCAGCATAAAAAAAAATTGCATACTTTGAGATTAAGTATTAGCAGTGATAAGAGTGTGCTCTTACAGTCCTGAGGTCTGCACCACTGCCATCGTTTAGAAATCCTCACGTATCCTGGCGGAAAACTATATTTGCATGAAGAAGTAATTTAGAGAATGTGCTCGGTTATGTGGCAGATCAAGAAAAAAATTCTAGAAGCTCAAGATATTTTTCAGGGAATCGAGCAGTGGCAGAATGTTCATATTTGCTATTTGCTTTTACCTATTTCTAGAATTGCACAGGCACTTATGGCAAGCTTCCTGAGAGGTGTGTGACAAGTGTATGGATTACTGTCAGCACTTGGATCTGTTACTTCATGAGGTTCATTGAAGAGAAAACTGTTTCAGATTCACTTCAGTATGATAGCTTTTTACTGTGGAAATCAGTGTAAGAGGATCCTACACTTACACGCAGCTCCCTGTTTTTACTTTATTTTGATTGGTATTTCTGCAAATCAAGTCTTCTGATTTACTTTCTTCCTTGTAATTCTACATCAGGATTAATTTTAATTCGGGGGAGTAGTACACCTAATAAAAAGTATTTTTTTATACTGAGGTATTATCTAAAAGTAACTTTATAATTCTTAAAATATCTTTTACAAATATTTGTGATGGAGATTTTTAAGCTGTAAAACGCAGAAACTATTTTCAAAAAATGTCACTGATTCATGAAGATTGTATGTGAACTTCCATATATCAAAAGCTTTGGTTTTGTTTCTGTGAATGAGACCCTCTCATACACTTTTTTTTTTAAGGAAAAAAATCCACAACCAAACACAAAAGCATTTTGTTATGCTGATTTTTGAAATGGGAGTTCTTTTCCCCCCTCTTCTCTTAACATGCAGCCTTGGCACAGGCATCTAGTTTTTAGCAGAATTTTGCCCATGGTGTTAGGCATGGAACTACAAAGACCAAATTTGCTCAGTTTGTTACATTTCAGTCTCTGAGATTGGAAAGCAGGCTCAGGAACTGACTGGACAACTTGCAAATGACTGACTTTATGAAATCCTGACATATGGTATTTTCTCAAATGCAAGAGAAAGTGAAAAATGAGTGTAAGCAGCTATACTGTCTGGAAGTCCTGTTATTGCTACTACTTTACAGGAGTTGGATGAAATCTTTGGTGTGATGTGATGCAACGCCTGCTAATCAAATGAGTGAGCAAGAGTGTGGGGTTGGGAAGGCTCAAGGGCTATTGAGCCTGGCCTGGAGAAGTCCAGGAGAAGTCCCAAGGAGCATGGAGCGGTTGAAAGGTTATCCTGGGATTTGGCAGGGGCAGGCAGTGAAGAGGGCTGGAGCGTAACAGCTGAGGAAAGAGTAGCTAGGTGGATTACGGCATATGACTGCACAGTGCGTGGATTTTAATCCCAATGTTAGTTATACTTGCTGTATGCTGAGGATAGTATAATACTAGCCTGATAAAAGGCATTAATATGTGTTTGGAGCACTTAAAAGTACTTCCACACAGAAAGTTTTGCTCTCGTTTTCTGGGTGTTACATTGAATTGCAGGATGATCTGGGTTGGAAAGGATGTCTGGAGGTCTCTTAGTCTAGTCCCCTGCTCAAAGTAAGATTTACTTTGGAGTCAGATAGGTTGTGATAAACCTTGAGGATCTCCAAGGATGGAAATCCCACAAAGCTGGACAGCCTTTTCCAGTGCTTGACTGCCCTCGCTGTGAACACTTTTCTTTTTCCTTTTCCCCTTGTACTTAGCGGGACTTCCTCCTGCTGCAAAATGTGCCCCTTGTCCTTTGACTGCACACCACCAAGAGTCTGCCTCCATCTCCTCTTACTAACCCCCACTTGGTAGTTGAAAACAATTATATTCCCCTCTTGTCCAAGCCGAATAAACCCAGCTCCCTCAGCCCGTCCTTGTACATCATGTGCTCTAGCCCTCTAGCTGTCTTGGTGGCCTTCTGCTGGACCTGCCCTACTGTGTGTTATATTGGGGGGCCCAAAAGTGGACACAGTATTCCAGATGTGATCTCATGAGTGCTGAATAGAGAGAATTGGTTTTGTTGACCTGCTGGCCGTGCTCCCGCTAATGCAGCCCATTATTTGTCAGCCTTCATCAGTGCAAGGGTGCACTGCTGACTTCTCTTCAACTTAGTGTCCACCAGGACCCTTAGGTCCTTCTCTACAAAGCTCCTCTTTGGTCATTCGGTCTAGAGCCTGCTCTGTTTTATGGGATTACTCTGTCCCAAGTGTAGGACTTTGCATTTTGCATTGAGCGTAGCAGTCAGAATCTGGTTCCTGGGGACTGTTAGAACAATTAAGTATGTTATTTTTTTGTTTAGGGATGGGATTTTTTAGGTTACTAAGGAGAAGGAACATTTCATCTTCAAATATGAATCTGAAAGTTGCAGATAAATGTATAGAAGATAGGGCATCCACTAGAAAACCTGGTTTTCTTAATATACTCTAGCAGACCCTGGTTTTTTCCTTCAAGTGAAAAGACAGACTGTCATTTAGATCTTAAATTATTCCAGCAGTAGGAATGCATGGATGATTTTTTTGTTTGGTTTTGCTATGTGCCAATCAGTTAAACATCTTAAAAAAATATAATTTGTGTCATAGTAAGATAGGTGCGTAGTATGAACCATATCACTTGCAGAAGTATATGATTTTTAGTGCTTCTGTGTTCTGGTACACATGCCATTTCTAGCTAATAGCTGAAAGAGAAATAAGGACGTGCGAAGGCATTTTGGTTTCTTGTGAGTTTGTACTAAAACTCTTAACATAAAAAACCTAAAATAATCCCTTCACCTTTGTTTTATCTGAGGAGACTGGAGCACCTTAGTGGTCTTGTTTGGCTGAGGGCATGAAGCACTGACAAGCTGGCAGCTCTGTCTCCAGCTCACCTTATATGTTTGGGTTGATAGACGGGTACACTGTAGCTCTTGGGAGGTGTTTTTGTTGTTACGTTAACCTCATTGCTGCTATTAATGAAGCTTTTATATGTGATTTTCTAACATCCCATGTTGTAAGATCTTTGCCAAAGTCTGTTGCCCTTAGCAGTGGCCCATAGCAAAATGGAGCCCTTTGGGGTTTCTATGATATTATCTAATAATAATTAGCCAACTGTGTATTTTGACATCCATACTTTATTTCTCTGAATGAGAAAACCTTGCTCTATCACCTGTCTAGCTACCAGTTTACTGTAACTTGCTCTTGGTGTCTAATGGAGGGCTTGTGACTGAATGAGAGGTCATAATTTTGTATGTTAATTTAGAGAGCATGTTCTGCTTGTAAGGAACAAGTTAGAAATTAATAGGAGAAGTATGGAAGACACTTGAAGACTTTTGTCTATGGAAGACAAGGCAAGTTATCAGTGATTTAAAGAAGTGTCAGACTAGGGCCTAAAACCAGAAGAGATTTGTAAGTGTAAGTTAATGGTTGGACTGGATGATCTTAAAGGTCTTTTCTAACCTAAACGATTCTATTCTATTCTAAGTATGGAAGAGCTAAGCTGTAAGATCGGGACTATAAAAGTTGTTCTGACATAGTTAAGGAAAATTAAGGCAGCAGCAGAAGTGATGATGTGGTGCAAATTAAATGTTTTGGGGTCTCCTTTGGCACTGGTTTATTTAAATAGGTTTAGGGTAAGCTTGAGATGAAGACAAGATCCTTGACAGCCTACAAAGGCAAAGCCAGATCTTGAAGATACTTTGAGGGTGGCAGAAATTGGATGGATCTAGACAGTGTGCAGCATAAGTAAATAGATGCTAAATAGATGTAAGTGATCTTCATCAGTTCATGTAATCACACAGATAAGACTGGTGTCAAAACAGGTATCTGTAACTGAATTTGTTTGCTTATTCTGGTCCCTAAGGCATCATCTGTCTGTGCTTCAATTAAAAAACTGCAATCCTTTGAACGTATGGATTGCTTCTTTATTTGTCTCCCTGTCTGACACCTAGCACAACAGAAGCTGGCTCTGGGTTGAGATTTTGTGCCAAAATAGGTGCTGAATTAAAGTTGGTCTGTGGAATTGAGTAAAGAGTGTAAAGAGGACTGTGTGCTCCCCACCCTGTTCAGAAGCAGTAGGACTGGTGGTGTTCGCCTGCTGCTTTGGCCTCACTGCAGCCTGCAAAACGGTGAATCCCCAACTGTGTAGATAAGGAGTTATCATTTCTATGTGGTTTTATTTTTGCACTCTGTAGAAACAAGTGGCAAGATTTAAATAAGCATTTGTTGTGAAATACTTTTTATACGTCATGCCTTGACATTCAGAAGATGGCTGTATACCACGTTATAGTCAATAGTTTAACTATTTGGGGTTTGTGGTGTGTGGTGAAGGGTTTGGTTTTTTTTTTGTACAGTATGTTTTTTTTAAAGATTGTCATCCTAGAGCAACAAGAATACTTGGCTTAGTTTTACGTTTGTATTTTGAGAGAAAATACTAAAGTCAGCACAGTAAAATTAAAGAGAGAACTGTGTCAGAGAACAATTTAGAGTCCGTTTGTAGTTTCAGTATCATAAATGAAATGCATATCTTGTGGAATATTAACGTAAAGCAGCCAACCAAAAATGTGCATAAACTCAAGTTCTGTTTCCTTAGTAATTTTCAGTAAAAGCATTCCCAAAGGATTGGATAGAAATGTCTAGCCTTACATTTACTGTTGCAAATTCAAATTCAGGCAATGGTAGTCGTAATCGAAAACAATGTAATTGTTCCTTTCTGGCAGAGAAGAATTGAGCAAACAATCTAAATATAGTTTGCACTGGACATCCTGTTAAGATATATAACATTAAGATAATTGGCAAAACCTGAAAACTCTGACAGTCACAGCAGATTAAGGAACTTGAAGTTTTTTCACAAGGGCTGAAACATGGTGAGCCGTTCTGTTTGAAGAAGCTTTTACTTGAGTGTTGGGGGTTTTTTGTCTTAATTTCCAAATAAATTCAAACTGTTAACTTTTGTACCTTCTGGGAAAAATAGCATGCATTTAAATCAATTCACTCTAATTTAATTTTGTTTCTGTATTATTTTCGTAAGTTCCTTGTTTCTGTGAGAGGTATTTTGTCAGACATAATTCAGTG